CCCGCCACAATCCACGGGGGAGCCGCCGCGGAGAACATGGGCGGCCCGGAGGCGCAGCCGGGCAGGGCGGGAGCGCGGGCGGGCGGGCAGGTGGAGCGCTCCCGGGACGCGATTTTGCAGCCTCTCCCTGGACGGGCGACTTTGTTCCGCCCTTGTCTTCCCTGTAGTTTCAATGCCATTTGGCCGGGAGGACGTCACGTGACTGGGCTTCAGGTGGAGGACCGCATCCCTGGGAGAAGGAAGACGACGAGAGAGGCTTTTGTCTGGTAAACAAACGGGGACTTGTCAAAAAGAAACGTTTTTATGCAACGTCTCTCCCCACCCGCCACCCCAGTCTTCCTTAAAGTTAATCGCAGCCCGCCTGTGCATTGTAAATTATGGAATGATCCTCTTAGGATTCTAGCCCAGAAGTTTGCAACAGGGCCTTAAGGTGGGGTCTTTGTTTTTTTCTGATGGAGACTAAATTCTCATTCTCACCTATAGCCATGGCCAGACCCCATGGCCTCTTGGCACAGATGCTACTCATTCCACAATCCTCCTGCTTGGCCCAAGGGCTTGCCTGATGCTGACTCCTTTATCAAGGGTGTACTGTACCTCCCTTTTCCACACACTTTTTTTTTACCCACAGGCGTCTATCAGCAACAGAGGGAGAGTCAATTCTTAAAGAGGGAAAATACAGTGTATGAATGTGAGATTTTGGACTTCCTTACCCATGATTTCTCCTTCATGGATTGCTGCCTTGTCGTGGCGAAGGAGTTTGAGTAATTCAGAGAAGTTATGGGCTATGCCGCACAAATGGACAGGCCATAGAAGTAGCTCCACAGCTAATGAAGTGGTTGGACCAAAGCCGAAAGGACGCTCAGCTGTGGATATGCCTAGAAGTGAAAGGAAAGTCCAATGCTGCAAAGAAAAATATTGCATAGGAACCTGGAATGTAAGATCTATGAACCTTGGGAAGCTGGAGGTGGTCAAATAGGAGATGGCAAGAATAAACATTGACATCCTGGCCGTCAGTGAACTAAAATGGACAGGAATTCAATTCAGATGATTATCATATCTACTATTGTGGGCAAGAATCCCATAGAAGGAATGGAGTAGCCCTCATAGCCAACGAAAGAGTGGGAAAAGCTGTAATGGGATACAATCTCAAAAATGATAGAATGATGTCAATACGAATCCAAGGCAGACCTTTCAACATCACAGTAATCCAAGTTTATGCACCAACCACCGATGCTGAAGAGGCTGAAACTGACCAATTCTATGAAGTCTTAGAAAACCTTCTAGAAATGACACCAAAGAAAGATGTTCTTCTCATTATAGGGGACTGGAATGCTACAGTAGAGAGTCAAGAGATAAAAGGAACAATAGGTAAGTTTGGCGTTGGAGTTCAAAATGAAGCAGGGCAAAGGCTAATAGAGTTTTGTCAAGAGAACAAGCATCACAAACACTCTTTTCCAACAACACGAGACAACTCTACACATGGACATCACCAGATGGGCAATACTGAAATCAGATTGATTAAATTCTCTGCAGCCAAAGATGGAGAAGTTCTATACAGTCAGCAAAAACAAGACCTGGAGCTGATTGCAGCTCTGATCATCAGTTTCTTATAGCAAAACTCAAGCTTAAACTGAAGTAGGAAAAACTACTGGGCTAGTCAGGTATAATCTAAACCAAAGCCTTTGTGAATACACAATGGAAGTGAAGAACAGATTTCAGGAAATAGATTTGGTGGACAGAGTGCCTGAAGAACTATGGATGAAGGCTCGTAACATTGTATAGGAGGCAGCAACAAAAACCATACCCCCAAAAAAGGAAATGTAAGAAAGCAAAGTGGCTGTCCAGTGAGGCCTTGCAAATAGAGAGAAGGGAAACAAAATGCAAGGGAGATAGGGAAAGTTACAGAAAAGTGAATGCAGACTTCCAAAGAATTGCAAGGAGAGACAAGAGGGCCTTCTTACATTAACAATGTA